CAAGCTATTGTGACACCAGATATAAGTGGTGGCACTGACTGGGGAAATGGGCACAGTATGCACTGTGAGCCTGACACAGAAGCTGGCAGCAGTGGCAGACAACTAAATGCAATTACATTACATAGGAAAAAAAATAAAAAAAAAGCATACCCTAACCCTAACCTAGCTATGCTTTTCCCTATCTAATGAACAGCAGCTACACTTTCCCTCCTCTTACTAAAGCATGCAGCTTGACAATGAATCTAAAATGGATGCCTTCCAGGAGGTGGGAGGGTCTGCTAGGGAGGGTGTGCTGCTAATTGGCTGGAATGTGTCTGCTGACTGTGAGGTACAGGGTCAAAGTTTACTCAATGATGAAGAATAGGGGGCGGGTCGAACCGCGCATATGTTCGCCCGCCGTGGCGAACGTGAACATGCTATGTTCACTGGGAACCGTTCGCCAGCGAACCGTTCGGTACATCACTATTTAGGATAAAGCAAATTCTATATAGTATTGAAATTCAAGCACTGTAGCTTATTAAATTAGTTTCACGCTTTTATTAAAAAGTTAATATTTAGTATCACAGAACATAAGTTGACTTACACATATTAAGTGGGTCCATTTTCCAAAGTGTAAGTGCAGGGCTTGCAGTACGCTAAGAAAATAAAACAGTGCAGCTAATAGCTGCAAACACTGTGAAACGTTTCTTTTGTCTGCAGCTTTAACACTAGCAAATCAATGCAAAAATATAAATGCTGGGGTCTGTGAGGCCCCAGCATGTAAGAACAAATGTGTAGTGTCATTAACCTTTTCATCTCTACAGTAGAGAGCAATACAGTGTGTTTCTCTCTTCTGTGGCACTGAAAATAAAACATAAGCATTTAATGCGTGCAAAATGCTGCGAGGCTCCAGCTAATTGGCTCCCTTTTATATTTTGGACAATTAATAATAGAAAATATATATTTTTTAAATGTGGGATCCATTGTATTCCATAATGTGCCATTCACTTTCTCCAACCCATATGGGAGTCACAACCAAGTAGGAGCATTTATTCTAACGATTCCCCCCAAATTAGAAGTTTATTCTATAATTGTTCTATTTTTTGTAATTAAAATTTTATTGAGTTTTTTTTTAACTTTGCATTAGAAACATAAGGCATTATAGCTACTTCACCCAACAAAGAAGATCTTCTACAAATAACAGAATAACAATTTTCATGTAAAGAGTTGATTATTGTGCCTTATTACTCCTAAGAAGTATAGGAAGGAGAGAAACAAGTTGAAGAGGTTAGGTAATAGGGAGGGTTGGGGTAGGTGAGACGGTGTCTCCCTATGAGACGAGTAGGTCCCTCGGAGCTACACCACCAGAAGGTTTAGGGTAAACCCGAGGGGTGCAAAAGTCTCCATCTGTCAAATATAAGCACTCTCTGCCCCAAGGTGCATGTATACAGCTGTCATATACTAAAGAGATGAGTTATTCTATTTTTTTTTACATTTTCTTAATTTAACAAATAATCCATTTCCTTTCAAAACCTGGTAAAAGAATCATTATATTAAAAGATAATGTCGCCTAAAGTCCCTTTGAGCTTTACCAACCTGGGCTACAAATGTTAGCCTTCGGAGCTATAAGTTTACCTGCCAATCAAATGGCTCCTCTTGTAAGACAAGGGATACTCGGAATACTCAAACATCCTGTGTATACAGGGAATGAGAAAACAATGTTGCTAGGTGCACTATCACTCAACAAAATCTTTAAAGGCAAGCAGCAGATGTTGCGTCCCACATCCAATTAATACGATGTTTGTACATTGCAATTAATAGCCGTCATAGAGTAGATATCAGTGGACTGTATTAATTAAAGAATATATCTATGTCACTGGTTAGAGTCACATTTTCATAGTATATTGCAAAAATAGATACAAAGATATTAATTCACCATCATTAATGCCTCAGTAGAATAAAGTGGAATGTATTAACAGAAGAACTACACTTATTTATCAACCGTATTTCACATGATGCTCAGTCTATGGTAAGGATGGCTAAGGATCATGGGAAATACAATGCAATAACCTAGGCTCTCTAATATCTTCAATTAACTTTATTTCAAGCATTAACCCTGGTGACCATAGTATCCCTTTAATTATTGCAGTATATGACATTCTCTAGTCTATATATATGGCCCTGTCTTATTTGCATGGGCATCAAATATAATCAATATTCTTCTTCAGAGTCAATGTTAGCCATTCCCGCTTTAATACATAGCTCATATGTAAAAATAACCTAAAACCCAGCAGGGTGACAGGATGAATAATATTACAATATGTTACATCAATGAATAGTGGGGACATTATCAGCTTTTCTGTTAAAGCTGTCACTCAAGCAATTGTAAATAATGTAATTATAGGTTCTTTAATAACCTTAATGACCAATTACATCTTTGTGTGACATCAGCAATACCTAAATTCCAGATTCAGATTTTGGCAAAATGTTAGGTTTAAAAAGAAAAACTTAAGTTAATTAGTAGTTAAGAATGGATAAAAATATTTAGAGAGTTTTAAAGGTCTTTAAAGGTTGACACAGTGAGGCTCGAGGCAGATTTTGACCTGTGGACTTAGTCTTTTATTTCTTTTTGCAGAGCACAGAAAAGACATCAGCTGTAAGAAAGTATTCAGTTGCGGTTTCACGGTCTTCAAATATCAATACATTTTCCTGAAGACAGAGTCATGCCTTACTTTCAAGGAGCGGAAAAACTCTTCTTGACTGTCTACATCATAACGTTTGTAACAGGGCTTCCTTTAAACATCATGGCCCTTTGTATCCTCATTAAAAAATGTAGTCAGAAGCTCGTTCCTGTGGATATCTTACTTTTCAACTTGACCATTTCTGACCTGTTACTTCTCTTTTTCCTTCCATTTCGTATGGCGGAAGCTGCTTCTGGTATGAGATGGCTCATACCTTATGTCTTCTGTCCCTTGTCAGCTTTTATGTACTTTAGCAGTATATACATCACATCACTTTTTCTTATGGCTATAAGTGTGGAGCGATACCTGGCTGTTGCATTTCCTATCAAATACAAGCTGTTGAGGAAACCGATCTATTCTGTGGTGGCAAGTGTCATCATCTGGGTCACAGCAACTGCTCATTGTAGCATTGTCTACATTGTGGAACATTTTGTAACCGATAACATGACTAGTGTCAACATGACAGCTTGTTACGATACATTTTCACCAATTCAATTACAGGTTCTTCTGCCTGTTCGATTCGAAATATGTCTTCTCCTATATTGTGGTCCATTGGTGGTCACTGTCTTCTGCTACACTAACTTTGTCAGGATTCTCTCCATGCAACCTCGAATAAAGAAGAAGAGAAAACTTAGAGCAATTGGGCTGTCAGTGGCCACTATGATCACTTTTATGGTTTGCTTCTTGCCCTATAATGTGTCTCATATTGTCGGATTTATTGAAGGAGAAAGCCCAAAATGGAGAGTATATGCCCTTCTTCTAAGCACATTCAATGCAAGTATGGATCCTATTATATTTTACTTCTCATGTGGCTCATTAAAGAATATATTTTTCCAGGGTATGGTGCAGTTTATAAAAAAGCTACACTTGGGGACAAAATTAAGCCACGGTTTTATCACACAATGTGAGAAAAAAGCAGACAATTCAATTGCCTCTTCATGATGGCATCATATAATGGCATAAACTTGCATTAGATACAACTTGGAAAAATAAAAAAGCAAAAATCACAAAAAGAACAGAATAACCATGTGTCCTACAACCTATGGTAGCGTTTGTGGTTTAAGAAGCCTTTGGGTGCCATCTCCTATTTTAGTCAAAAATCTTGCAACCTATCATTGTCATGTAGGTTTGGACAACTTTGGTCAGATAATGTAGATGTGAAAACTCAGCACTAACTGATTGGCAGGCAGGAGCTAAGTTGGGTGCCTACAGAACCCCAATTTTGTTAAACCATAACACTTCATTTATTATTCACTTCATTCTCACTTAAACCAGATGCGCATAATTTATTATGGTAAGTTATACGGTGAATAATTTGCCACTCATGGGGTATTTCTGATTAACAGACACAACATTTATTTTAGCATTTAATTAAAAACAAATTTCCAACAAACCAGTTTTCTCAGTACAATCAGGCTTTATGCCTTAAACCAATTGGGGGGGAAAAATGATGAGTAAAGGTTCTAATTAGAATTAAGTAAAATGTAAAATCTGTGTTGTAGTGCTTTGATAATCTGTTGTGTTATTTGAAAATATGATTATTTTTTTTTTAATCAAACTGTAAATTTGTTTCTGTCAACAGCATGATTTTTAGAACTATAAAAAAAAATATATATATATATAGATAGATAATAAGAGAGCGCAAAATACAGGTAAATAGCCAAATTACTATTATCGGCTTAATGAGTAAATTAAAAATATCAGCAGCTAAAAACACATTAAAGATTTCCCAATCTTACATATACAGTATATTAAAATTGTGTTAGTGCTATATGGGAGTCACCATTAATACAAAATAAAACATTGTGCTTCCACAAATATTCTTATGAAGAAAAAATATCAATAACCATTACTATAGTCAGGTGTCTGCTGGTTATTATTACACCTTACTTATATTCAAAATATAAAATGGAAATTTCCAAAGAATCTTCTAAGACAAAATATATATCAATGTCCAGAGTACTTTGGTGTTGAAGGGGTTAATACTTTTTCATTGCAGCACAGTTCTCTGGTATAGATCACAGTAGTTTGTAGCATCAGGATAATACCTTCAAAAGGATACAAAAAGAATCCTCATAGTGTAACACTGTTTATTTGCAACATTAAAAAACCTCTTACCCCCAAAAGGAACCCTTACATGAATAAATGGTGACACTTGTTTCCATCACAAATGAGCAGATATACAGAAGTGAATGTGATGTTACCGTCCGTTCAAATGATGTTCTCGACTAAAACTGAAGTCTCTCTGCCGTGATATCCACTTGTATTGCTAGAGAGACACCAAATGTCCAGGACGGTACTTTCTTTCACTCTGTGTTCGCTCAGAGAGCAGTTAGCACTTCGACGCGTTTCGCCCCGTTCACCCGGGCTTTCTCAAGATCAAGATACTAATATTTTACATTGGAAATATCCTTATGACATAAAACATGAGGTGATTTCTGAAACAATAAAAAATAAACAAGCAAACAAACAACAATGGGCAGATGACATGGGCTGAACGGTCGTTATTGGATGTTGCATTATACTTATCTGGTTGTATTTACCTGGTTGCTGTAGCAAAGAAATAGGAACTAGGTTCATCAACGAGACCCAAAAGGTTATTCTATGTCTTTTCAGTCATAGAAAAATATTTTGATTGTTTTTTTTTTGGGGTCGTTTAATCTTGGTATTAATGTTTATATTATATTCACAGTTTAGCATTGTACCAGTTAAGTGACAAACAGCTAATGAACACTAGAGGGCAGCCTTTGTTAAGGTTACGCACAGCAAAAGAAGGCTCGTTTTGTGATTGAACCATTCTGGCACTGCTTATCAAAGGATTATTTACCAGCCAGTATCCCACCTTCATATATGTTTTATCTCCTATCAGTCACTACTCCCAATCTCTTTTTCTTCAGTAGTTTCTCATTCTATCAGCATTTTGATTGTTATTACTTCTATCTCTCAGTTTCTTTTTTCAGATCCCTGTCTCACCCTTCCCTAGTCTCTGTTCTCAAGTCAATAGCAGCAAAGTTAAACTCAGTTTGTGTGCCTTCCCCCAGTTTGTGTGCCTTCCCTCAGTTTGTGTGCCTTCCCCCAGTGTGTGTGCCTTCCCCCAGTGTGTGTGCCTTCCCCAGTGTGCGTGCCTTCACCCAGTTTGTTTGCCTTACCCCAGTTTGTGTGCCTTACCCCAGTTTGTGTGCCTTTACCCAGTTTGTGTGCCTTCCCCCAGTTTGCGTGCCTTCTCCCAGTGTTAGTGCCTTCCCCCAGTGTGTGTGCCTTCCCCCAGTGTGTGTGTGCCTTCCCCAGTGCCTTCACCCCAGTTTGTGTGCCTTCCCCCAGTGTGTGTGCCTTCCCCCAGTGTGTGTGCGTGCCTTCACCCAGTTTGTTTGCCTTACCCCAGTTTGTGTGCCTTACCCCAGTTTGTGTGCCTTTACCCAGTTTGTGTGCCTTCCCCCAGTTTGCGTGCCTTCTCCCAGTGTTAGTGCCTTCCCCCAGTGTGTGTGCCTTCCCCCAGTGTGCGTGCCTTCACCCAGTTTGTTTGCCTTACCCCAGTTTGTGTGCCTTCCCCCAGTGTGTGTGCCTTCCCCCAGTGTGCGTGCCTTCACCCAGTTTGTTTGCCTTACCCCAGTTTGTGTGCCTTACCCCAGTTTCTGTGCCTTCCCCCAGTTTGTGTGCCTTCTCCCAGTTTCTGAGCCTTCCCCCAGTTTGTGTGACTTCCTCCAAATAGTGTGCCTTCCCCCAAGTTGTGTGCCTTTCCAATCGGCTGATCATGCAATCCCTCTTTCAACTTTCAAACACACTCATTATCAGCCTAACTCAACTACACTACACCCCTTTTCTGAATAATAACTGTTTTACCAGCCTTGACTAGTATTCCCTACTGCTCATCCCCCAGTCTCACTTGCTTTCCTCTGCTATGTATGATGGGAATTGAGTGATAGACTTGTACTCATAAGTGTGGTGGGATTACATGTGTGTGAGTTATGTGTGTGTGAGACTGCATGTGCATGTAACTTTGTCAGGGGTTGAATGTACAAAATTGGAGTTGGGTGGTGAACTTGTGTGTTTGTTTTTGATCTCAGACATTTCCACCCATAAGGACAGTCTGCAATGCCAGGAAAGTCGCACCTGTATAACCAAAGCCAGACATTCTATCAGCTCTCCAATGGATCATTTTAAATGTTAGTCATTTAATGAAGAATTAAATAAGGAGCATATATCTAATGTATTTATTTATGCAAGCATGGAAATATTTGCTGAAAATCTAACCTAACAATGTAAGCCAATCTCAATTGGAAATGTTTGCAGTCTTGCAATCTATTCTTGTAATTAAAGTGCTGCCAGTGCTTGGGATTTAACGATATACTCTGATGAGATTTGTCTACATTTTTTGATGAGAAAAACATAATTATATCATTTTCAACAAAGATTATTCAGAATGCACAATATACCGAAAAATAGAGGAAATTTAAATATGTTGCCTGGATTTAAGTTTAAATTAAAAAAAATGTAAATAGAGTGATGCATATAAGTAAAAAATATATAATACATCGTGTACAATGTTTTATAAAAATATTACATTGAATTGCTGCGGACTATATTGGCACTTTTGGTGCTTAGTCAGTAGTTTTGACCTATTACCCCAGAGGGCTAGTATTTTTGTTTTAAAAAAATATATATTTTTGTTTATTTATCTATATTCTTCTAAATTATATCATGTTTTTAGCTATTATTGGTTCTATTTGCTATGTATTCATTTTTCATTTTGTTTCCAGTAAATATCAGTGGATTTTATTAATAAATATGGATGTTTTTATGTTATACATTTAATTCCAACTTTCTGGGAAAAGGTGAATGCTGTTAATGTACAACATCTCAATACTGAGTAAGGATAATGCTATTGACTGCAATGTAAAGTTTAGAGTTCAATTTAGTTAAATACGTGCGATTAGGTTTGTTAACAAAAACTGCTTGAAAAACTAAGTCATCTTACAATAACTTAGATTGCAAATTTACACAGTTTTTAATGTACCCTGATAGCAGTTTTCTGCTAATTAGTTGTAAATTGACTGTAAAGGAATAAAATGTATACAAATAAAAATGAGCAGGCGGATTGTGGGTTGTGGATGAACGCAACAAACACATAAAACATTTCAGGTTTAGTGAAAAGTGTGTCCTTTTTTTTCCCATTTTATAAGAGTGCCGACTTCAATAGAAAATAAAATTCAGCTTTATAATTGAACGCAGTTCCACCTCCCTGGCTGTCAATCAATCAGTTGGTCCTGTTACTTCCTGGTAGTTTAGCTCCATGGTGTGAAATTGAAAAAGTTACAAATAAGCACCTGCTCTGCCTTGTTACATCTTCTCCATAGTATCTTCATTAGAGATATATCTATTGCAGTTAAACGCAACACAGCCCTGCAATTACATCCACCACAAGCAAAGGATTGGAACCAAGTTACTCCCATACATAGAGCTCTCCATACCCACCCATCATTACATCACCGGGAAGCTCCATCTTGGCTCCATCTTGGCTCCCTGTCAATCACTGTTATAAGTACTGTTTGTGTCTTGCAGTCGTCATAGAGAAAGCATAGAGAGAAATGTAGAAATTAAACATCCGAAGAATGGTGAAAGAGCTAGCTTTATTGATTATTAGCATTTTGACACATTTTGAAACTCGTCCTTTTAGCAGAGACATTTAAATTCTGAATCACATGCATTATACACACATAGCTTTTACGTAAACATTTTAAATATTCACATTGTTTTTTATTTTGTTCCCAAAATTT